AAAAGATTACGGTATAAGCCAACTCTGTCCTACCAAGCTGATTTCAGTTTAAAGATGGGATTGCGCATGACACTCCCTAGTGAGGATACGTGTGAAATGCTGTAGTGTATGCTGTGTGATACTCCCCCCAGTCCATTCTGAAAAAAAAGGAATGCCAAGAAGTAGGAACAAGGTACAAGTTAAAATAGGCCACAGATAACACCTTTAGCTTACATCATCCTCCTCGCTTCTGTGTGTAAGTTATGGTTCAACAGAGTGGGTGTAAATAGCTCTGAAATGTGAAAGTCGATTTGGAAGGATTATATTGACTCTGCTTAATAGCAAAGGATGCCTCCAGTGCTGTTTAGCACAAACAACAAAATAAGACATTATTACAAAGGGAGAAGATACTGACCTCTGCTTGTGCTGGCCAGCATTTTCATCACAAGACTCTCGTGCCTTCTTTGTCTGTCAGTTTGTTTGTAAGAATTTTTTTTCCTTTTTAAGACTCTCACTATTTTCAGTAGGTCTGTGTAGCTTGCGAGAGCCATCTGGATGGTCACGTGCCTTTTCCTCATTTTTTTGTAGTCCTATCAGATTTTGTTCAGGTTTAGTAATTTTTAAAATATTTTATAATCCATCTGTTTCACATCCCTCATCTACATTCTACAGGACAATGCTGACAGCCTGCCAAACTAACTTGGCACAGACATCTGCAAGGCTGGGATTTGTGGCCACATGTAAATGTTTGTAAGCGTTGAGTCTCCAGCCCTTCACATGCCCGAGCATTTGCCTTTTCTCTTAATTGAGCAAGGTATGAAAACATCAACAAATCTTCCGTCCCTCACTGCCCAAGTCAAGAAGCCATCCCTTTAGGTCAAATAGTTCAGACTATATTCTTGCTGTGGAAAGGATCATCCACCAGAAGTTTTTTGCTTCCAGTCCAACAGAAGGAATTTCACGCTGCGGAGCTGCCTGTCTCTGTGGCTGGAAGTCACGTGGGCTGCCTACAGAGAGCAGGAGCTCAGGTGCAGGCAGCAAGACAAGGTGAGGATCACAGCAACATATACCCAAGCAGGGTGACCTGGGCTAAGATCCAGAAAGAGAGAAGATACAGTATTTTTTGAGAGTATGAGAGGTGTGATCGCTTCTAGATTTCACAGAGCCCCACCAGGACTGTTTGCATGCTACACAACAGCCATTTTGGATTTTCTCCAGCTGTATCCAAAGAGGTAATAGCCACCCATACTGTCAAAAATGCTTCTCCAAGCAGCTATGAACCAGAAACTCAGCTGCAGCATCCTTTTCTGTTTCTTCTCTCTGAGGGATAAATTTCTTGGTTATGTGTTTTAACGTAAGACTCAAAACATTGCCTTGAGCAATGTTCAAAACTGCAGACTCTAAAGACCAGGTTTTTAAACTATGAGGAGATAGAGGGGAGCATTTGTTTGGGTGATTTTGTTATTGCTTCTGCCAGACTTACAGCCACGTTTCTGTCAGGACGGGAATGATGGGGAAAAGTAGGTGCTCTTAAACATTTTACGGGAAAGATTTCTATTTAAATAGGAGAAATTGAATGGTCACAAAATCCATTTTGCAGTTTCTTCCAGCATAGATTGTGCCAGCACATCTTTTGCTTTTTCCTAGACCTTTGTCTCCCCATCCCCAACCATAAGTACTGTTGGACAGTGCACGTGTGCTTGGCTTGTTCTGCCAGTGCTTCCTGTCAGATGTGGATTCAGACCCAAACTCAGCCTGGACTGGAGCCACAGAGCAGAGAACATTCAAAGTTATGGAACTTCCTTCTTGTTTTACAGCAGGCTAAAGAAGCATTTTTAAAGGAAGCAAAGGTTAAAGCCCTTCTTCGCCCATCTTTGGTATTCACAACTGACTCAAGTCTTTAAAACTCAATTTTCTGCAGCCCTATTCAAAACATAGAACCTTTCACTGCCTATTTGGATTCTTCTCTGTTCATTGCTTGAGCTTCCATAAGTCCTTTAAAACTGAAGAAGCTCTCTAAACTGTGAGGAGGTTGCTCGTTAGTGGAGCAAATACAATACTGCGACCAACCACAAATCTTCATTTAATGTAGCATTGATTTCTCCCTCGAAAAACAGTAAATCCACTGTTTGGTTAGTTTTTTTTTAAATCTCAGTGGAAATGAAATTAGGACTTTGAAAACTACAGCACAAAAACAAAAAGCCCCGTCCTTTAAAGCAGTCCGTTCTCTCCGCATCACGGAATTTAATAAGGGGGAGAAAAAAAAAACGAAACAGGAGAGAGAGCAGGAA